GTAATGTTGTTGTGGGGAGGGGCGTAAAGGACTGAGTTCAGATTTGAATGTGTAGGGCCCATGCACTGTCAGCCAGAGCAGCAGCAGTGCTGGAGGAAAGCTTCCCTTCCTAAGACTTTCAGGGAGCCAAGAAAGCCACGCTGGAGTCCACCATGGACAGGTAAAGCAGCCGGCTCGTGGGTGGTTGTGTTTGGCCTTCCTCTCAGAGCAAATCTGAGTAATAAGATGGGTAAACTCTCCCCTTCTCCCCTGGCACTGTCTGACTCACAAGATCTGCTTGGTCAAGATGCACATTTATTTTTCTAGTTCTGTCTCATCTTCTGTTCAGATCTTAACATGCTTTCCACCCAACTGTCTCTTTCTCTTTTCTTCCCATAGTCAAAAGAACTTTCATGCACTATGTATTGACTTGTCCTTGCAGTTAGAACTAGTTTATGGTAGTAATATGAACCAAGCAAATGTTACGAGGCTGAAATCATGAAAAGCTCATAGCAATACTATACTAACAGTAGTGGTAACTGTAATCATTCTGTAAACATTCAACTATGAAACCCCTTGAAGAAAAGCTTTACTAGGGAGACTTTACTGAATAATTACACAGTCAAGAAATTATTTTTTAAATGCCAATATTCAAAATTAATTGCTTGCAGGTCACTATGACTCTGTCTACTATTATAAGGAGATAAATCAGTCAAGCAACTTATTTAATATTAAAGGCCCAATTGTTAGGCAGTCAAATGGTATTTATTATTTACCTAGTCTTTCCATTTCTTCAGACATGACTTAACTTACTTCTTCAGTGTGTCTTTTGTAAGATTTTCACAATGTCTTCACATGAAGTTTATGACAAGTATGTTATTATCATAGAACTTAATCTATTCCTATCTTTGATGATTGCAAATGTAGGAAAATTTACACCTAATCCATACTTTATCTCAAACTAATTCTTTTACAAAGAATTTAAACTACAGAGCTAAGAATCTTAAGGGTAGATTCAATGTCCTTCAGAAAACTGAGGGCAAAAATGTCAAATGTCAGCTCAGTTTACAGTGAGATTTTGAAAACTAATCTGAGGTAAAAGAGAGAGAAAAAAGTCTCAGCGGAGATACTTGTAAATAATGAAATGCAAAGCAATGGTAAAATCAGAGCTGCAATTCAGAGAAAGTCAGAGAAGGCAAAGGAGGTGAAATTCAACAGGAGAAAAAGGGAAATACGTGATTTTCATTAAGGAAAATACTATCTGCAGAGCACAGTAGTAATGGCACACGGCGGGAGAGGGTGACCTTGTCGCGATTATTTTTAACCCATTTGTCTCCGGTTTGCATTGCTGGGGATGCAGCCAGTGTTCTGCCTCAGGGAACACAGCTGTCCTGCGCAGCTGTCAACCTGCAGGCCTTACAGACTGTCTCTGCTGAGTCCTCCGTACACTTAAGAGAAACCAGAGGAGCGTAGGGTGCTGGAAATAGGCCCCCAGCTATAGTTAAGGAAAGTGATGGATCAAGATAGTTAATTAACAAGGCCATAGTCATGCAATTCACTTCACTGTGACTGGTAACTTCTGACGGAAACAGAGCTACTGTATTTTCATGTGGGGTAGGAGATAGAAGGCTATCTGAATCCCTTAGTCTATGTCCTGTCCTTTCTTATACTCCCAGGACACTTTTTTACTCCTCATGGGAACAGGGCTCCCACCCCACCTGCAGTGCATCATATAGTCCCCCTTCCTCCGCTTCTCATCCACACACTCCAGGAAGACAGGTTAAATGTAAAAGGAACTTACTGGTATAGATTATGCATATGAATTATGAATGAATAAGATATGAAGAGATTATGCTTAATCTATTTACAACTGGGCCCGAAAGAATGATTTTTCTTCCACTCCAGTATTTATCAAGCATGTATTCGGCTTACGTGCTATGCTGTGGCTGATTATGTTAATTATTTAACAATCATGATAGTAACAGAGGTAGTGCTGTGGTGATCACCGTGTAAATTACTATCACTTTAAAATAAAGCCAATTGGGCTTCCCTGGTGGAGCGGCGGTTGAGAGTCCGCCTGCCGATGCAGGGGACGCGGGTTCGTGCTCCCGGTCCGGGAAGATCCCACGTGCCGCGGAGCGGCTGGGCGCGTGAGCCATGGCCGCTGAGCCTGCGCGTCCGGAGCCTGTGCTCCGCAATAGCAGAGGCCACAACAGTGAGAGGCCCGCGCACCGCAAAATAATAATAATAATAAATTAAATAAATAAATTAAATAAAGCCAATTATTATTAGATCTTTGTTAGCATCCATTTCGGATTCCTATCAAATGTGCATTTTTAATTCTAAAAATCTGATTGACTAATTTTTATATGGTTTCACATACGTAATGTATAGACTGGTGATTTAGATGTATCACCATCTCTGCCTCAGGATTTAAAGTGGATTCCAGGGACTTCCCTGGCAGCCCAGTGGTTAAGATATTGTGCTTCCATTGCAGGGAGGACAGGTTCGATCTCTGGTGGGGGAACTAAGATCCCACATGCCCTAGAGCATGGCCCAAAGGAGAAAAAAAAAGTGTATTCCAATAACCTTCATGTGTGTGAGGAAGACATTCAGATTGCAACAGCTTTAAAAATCTCCAGCACTTGCTTATCTACTTAATAAGAGTGACATTTGAGAACTTGACTTCAGGGTCTATCTCATGTATTTCATTATTAAAATATCAATAATCAGCGTATGTCCATACAAAGACTAGTACATCAATGTAGAAGCTTTATTCACAATAGCCCCCAAATGGAAACAATCCAAACGTCCATCAACAGGTGAATGACTAAACGAAATGTGCTGTATCTAAGCCGTGGAATATTGCTTTGCTGTAAAAAAGAACAAACTATACTGATACATGCAACACCAGGAATGAATGTCACAGTCATAACATGCTTAGTGAAAGAAGTCAGACACAAAGGAGGAAATAATGTGTGCTTTATATGAAATTCTAGAAAATAATTTATAGTTGCAGAAAGCAGTTTAGTGGTTGCCTGGGAGGGAGGGGAAGAATTGACTGAAAAGTTGGGTGAGGAAACTTGTGGGGGAGGGGTGCCCTGAAAATGTTCTGTATCCTGATTGTGGTAGCAGTTTTGGGTGTTTACATCTGCCAATATTCATAGAATTGTACATTTTAAATGGGCGAAGTATGTAAATTATACCTCAATGTAAAAAAAATTGAAAAAAGTTTCAATTCTCTTGCCAGCAAACCGTATTCAAATTACTGACTAGGTCATTACTTTGACAAGTCCTCTGCACTTCTGCTCAGTGCCACTAGGTGGCAACATTACCTCCACAGATTAGATAAGTACATTTCTGGAAAAGTCCAAGGACAAAAACCAGGGACACTCACTCCTGATGCTTTGGTATCAACCGCACTGTATAGCTTGTGGTGTATTTACAACCACAAAGAAACTTGTGTTAGAGAGTATTTCCACAAATTCAACTCAATTTAGTGCTTATGATATGCAAGACACTGTGCTGGGAAACAAAAAGCAATCTGCCCCTCCCCTAACCCGCCCTGCACACACACACACACACACACACACACACACACACACACACACCCCGTGTGTGAAGAACACTGCAAAATATTTAGGTTATATTGCAAATTTACACAGGAAATCAGCCTAATCTAAATCCTGTAAATACATGCCTATAAAAAAGACTAGAATGAAAAACGTAAGTATAGTAACAGTAATTATCATTAGATAGTATGTCTAATTATCACTAGATATAGTGGTTAAGCATTTAAAAATGTTTAACTTTCTACTTTTTAGTAGTATGCAAGTTGACATATTTTTAAAAAGCATGACTCAAAAAGTGACACTTCCTGGCTCAAAACACAGAAATTCTGATTGAGGAGACAGATGTAGCAATCAACTGATAGCAAAGGTTGAGCGCTTTGATAAGGATAAGTGGAGAACAGTAGGAAACTACAGGAGGGTTTTTTGTTGCTGTTAATGTTGGATTTTGCCTAGAAATTTTGGCATAGTGGCAATGAGAAAGGTCTGAAATTGTGGTTAAGGCTTTGAAGGATGGGTAGGTTTTGCCCAGTGGAAAAAAAGGCAGGGAAGCTTGCAGTCAGGTGGCTGGACAGAAAAGACTAGTGCCAGGGGTCCTGCTGCAGGCATGGCGGGGAGGCTGAAGTGATGCGGAAAAGAGAAAATACTAGGAAACGAGGCTAGAAATGTAGATTGGTGTCCAAATGTAAAAGCTTTACTGCATTAAAGAGTTTGGAGTTTATTCTACCAGCGGAAGTTAGGGGCTTTTCGGTATCAGAATGACAGGCCCACACCTGGGCTTTTGTGAGATCTCTCGGGCACCTCGTGGAAAATGTTATTTTGAAGGGGCTGTGGGCAGAGAGAGCAGTTAAGAGGTCAGGACAATGGATAAAGGGAAAGATTAGAGCTTGGACTGAAGGAGAGAACAGAGGAAGTAGAGCAGGAACAAATCCAGAAATATTTGAAAGTTTGACTCAATAAATTTAGATGATTAATAAATTAATTCAATATGAGGAGTGACGGAGAATCAAATATGATTCCAAGCTTTTAGCCTGGTTACTTGGGACGGAAAGTCGGTAGGAGAGGAGAGGCAGCTCAGGAAAGGGCAATTTGGGAATACTGTGTTAACCCCGTGAGTTAGAGGTCCATGTTGGACATTTAGATAGAGATTGGAGGGGAAACCTGAAAAGATCACTATGGGACTGGGGAACAGGTTTGTAATTCCAAGTTATCAGCATCTAGAAGGCAGCCATGGGAGGAGCCTGTCCTGTGAGCACGTATGGCTTTGGGTTTCTTGCTGTCTCAACTGGTCTTAAATATAAGCATGATGAGGGGGTTGTAATGGATTCCAAGCTCAGTAAGTCTCAGGCATCCAACAAAGGGAAGCAAGAGCATCTCCTTTGGTTTGGCCCAAGTATTACAGATTTTTTTTAAAAAGCTGAAGGAAAGCCAGGAGTGACCAGAGGATCAGCGATGCTCCCGCACTTCCTCCCTCCTCTCACCCACAGCCTCCTGATGAAGAGGAGGAAGTTTCTTTACCACTTCAAAAACGTGCGCTGGGCTAAGGGCCGCCATGAAACCTACTTGTGCTACGTGGTGAAGCGGCGGGATAGCGCCACCTCCTTCTCACTGGACTTTGGGCACCTTCGAAACAAGGTATCAATTAATACCTGCTTCCCAAGCAGGGCATTTTTAGAGCCACCTGCTGATGGTACCACTTTCAGCCTGTTTCATTTGTCTCCACTAGATTCCTCAAATCTCTTTTTTACATGTCCCTGCAACCACAATAGAAATACCCCAAAGGGTGTCATTTAATGTCCTCCCCAATCATGCTGAGCACATCAAGGCCACACCTTGCTTCAATGCCAAGAATAACTGCCCCAAAACTTCCTCTCCTTTCCCCAGCATCCAAATTGCCTTTAAGATTAAAGAAGATATCCAAAGAAAGAGGCTTTTGATTTGGGGGAATATATACAGCTCATTCAAGCTGAATTTTAAATGTGGAAAAACAAACTGTGGCTTTAGAATTTTAAAAAATTAAGGAAGAAAAATTTAGGGAAAATTAATGACTCCATTCTGTCTTCCAAATGAGTTCTATTCCTTCCTGCTCACCTAGATCAGAGGCCAGTAAGTACATACCTAATAGTGAGCCTGAGAAAACGCAGGGAAGCCATTAATTAAAACTTGAAGATCAGAAAATTACATTTCCAAGAGACTTCTTCACCAAAACCCAGATGGGTTCACATACTCTTCTGCCAATGAATATCTCCTCTCATAACATGCAGTGACATCTAGTCTTGGTGGAATCCCAGGGAAGAATCCGTGGGTGGAATGACACTGGCTAGTTTCTAGGGCTAGTTTTACTCTCCAATTTTTTTGGCCTCCATTTGTATTGTGTAAATTATCTCACTGCAATTGTTTTACATTCTAATCTCTTTCCTATTTGGTAATAAGACACATTCTAAACATAGAAAGCTTTTGTGTTAACAACCCTTTCCTTCCCTCTCATTTAATCCTCACAACCAAACTTCATTCCGCTGATGAAGAATCAGGAGATCCCAGAGTTGGGTGACTTGTTTAAGTCACAAGAGTGGCGATGCCAGGAAATGGAACCTGGGTCTTCAGATTCTGGGACTAATGACTTTTCTGCAGTATTAAGGGGACTTGCTGGGAATTCCCTGGCAGTCCAGTGGTTAGGGCTCTGCGCTTCCACTGCAGGGGGCACAGGTTCGATCCCTGGTCGGGGAACTAGGTCCCGCATGCCACATCGCAACTGAGTTCACATGCAGCTACCGATCCAGCATGCCACAAGTAAAGATCCCGTGCACCACAACTAAGACCCGGCACAGCCAAATAAAATTTTTTTTTAAAGAGTACATGCCTTAATTTTAAAAGCTTATTGCTAAAAACTGCTATCCTCTAAGCTTTCAGAGAATCATAGTGGTAACAAAGATCACTGACCACAGATCACCATAACAAATAAAATAATGAAAAATTTGAAATTTGCAAGAATTACCAAAATGTGACACAGAGACACAAAGTGAGCAAATGCTGTTGTAAAAAAATGATGCTGATAGACGTACTCAAGACCGGGTTGCCACAAACCTTCAAAACGCAAAATATCTGTGAGTCCAATACAGCCAAGCACAATATTATAGGTATCCCCGTATTTAATTGCTCTTAGCCCCAGTGGCGCCTATTACCTCTCTCAAAACAACACTCAGGGACTTTCCCTGGTGGTGCAGTGGTTAAGAATCTGCCTGCCAATGCAGGGGACATGGGTTCGATCCCTGGTCCAGGAAGATCCCACATGCCGTGGAGCCGCTAAGCCCATGTGCCCCACCTACTGAGCCTGCACTCTAGGGCCCACGAGCCACAACTACTGAGGCCGCGTGCCACAACTACTGAAGCCTGCGCACCTAGAGCCTGTGCTGTGCAACAAGAAAAGCGCACTGCAACGAAGGCCCAATGCAGCCAAAAATAATAAATAAATTAATTAATAGATTAATTAATTTTAAAAAAACAACACTCACTTGTCAGTCTCATAATCTATCTCCTAACCCTAAATTTTCTGACCTCCACTTAGTGGTCCAGTGTATTTCCACAACGTTACATCAACAGCCCTTCCAAGCCATTTTCCTTCCCCTCCAAGGAAGAAAAAGGAACTTCACAAACAAAAATGAAATCTGAGATAGTGTGCTTCTCCTTCATCCACCCAACTCATTCCATCCTCCCCATTCCACAGAAGCTGTACGCTTTTCCCTTCCTAGGGCCAAAAGTGCAAAGTGTTTGGGCTCACCACTTACACTGCGTCCTTTCCAGCAGTTGCTTAACCTTCCTGCAACCTAGGACAAAACTGCAGACACCCCAAAAAAGATCTGGGAGGGACACGAATTAATGACTGTAAAGCTACCGGCAGGGCAGCCAAGGTCAGTAACCCTCCACTGAGCCTTCTGCTCTCTCCCCAGGCGGGATGCCACGTGGAATTGCTCTTCCTCCGCTACATCTCCGACTGGGACCTGGACCCCGGGCGCTGCTACCGTGTCACCTGGTTCACGTCTTGGAGCCCCTGCTACGACTGCGCGCGGCACGTGGCCGACTTCCTGAGAGGGTACCCCAATCTGAGTCTGAGGATCTTCACAGCGCGCCTCTACTTCTGCGACAAGGAACGCAAGGCGGAGCCCGAGGGGCTGAGGCGGCTGCACCGCGCTGGGGTCCAAATCGCCATTATGACCTTCAAAGGTGCGCAGGGACCTTTCTGCCCGGCTCAGCAAAGCACGGTTTGCAATTCAGATTGGCG